GATCACTTTCGGCCTAATTTCGGTTTCAGCCGAAACCAAAAAGTTTACATTTCGGTTAATTTCTGCTTCGGCCGAAACTGAAATAAAAACTTTCGGTTTAATTTCGGTTTCGGCCGAAAGTGCCTCGGGTTTCGGTCATCTACCAGAGGTCTGTCTGTCTCTAGGTTTGCAATCCGAAATTCATTAATGCTCGATGTCTAGCTGTCATCGTATGTTACGTTACTCTGCGAAAACTGCCCAAAGCTGCATGATGACCTACTTGTCCTTTATTTCCAAAAAAAAAAAAAATTTTAATTCGGCCTAGACAAATGTAAACAGTTTTGTGGAAGAGAATGGTAATATTTATATCATTATTTTTTTTTAAAATTTTTGTTTCAAAAATAAAATTTGGAACCGTAGGTTCATTCAATTACTTCATTTTTGGTATTCATTTTGATTGATCAATTATCATGCTAATCAATGTTGTCATAGGCAAAGGTGAATAATATTGCATAATCCTGGGGAATGGTAATATTTCTCCTATTATTTTTGTTTATTTAAAAAAAATAAAATAAGGAAACCGAGGCTTTTTCAATTCGTTCATTTCTTGAAATTCATCACTATCATTCTCATAAACTTTGAAATTCATCACTATCATTCTCATAAACTTTGAAATTCATCACTATCATTCTCATAAACTTTGCTATTGACGAAATAACAAGTCTTAGTTTGTGTATGTATCACTGGCTTGTATTATATTTATGTAGTAGGCCCACTGCAGACCTGTTAACTTTTATCATTTAGGTGACCAATTTGATGTCTTGCGATTCTAAGTCGAGAACCGTCAGGAGGGGTCCATTAATTACGTCAACAAAATAAGGGGGGGGGTTGGGGTTTGGAAATTGTTGACAGTACTGTTGTTGACAAGGGGGGGGTAGATTAGTTGACGTCAACAATCGTGTTTTTTTTTCTAAGAATTTTAATCTTAAACATTGACGTGTACTAACATTATTTTAAACAATGTAACGGGGTAAATAGTCATATATGTTTAGGCGTTTAACAATATAAGAGTTGTTTAATGCGTGTCTGTCTGTGCACCGCAGATGGCTGGTCAGAACGTTAGCACACTTTGTTAGTGCAGGAGAAGACAAAAGTTGGCCTCTCTTCACCTGCCATTTTTCTCTTAATCCGCTCCCTAGTATGAATAACACATCATTGTACACGGTGTTCAATTTAAAAAAACAAAACAACAACAACAAAACACCAACTCATCGGTGTTCACAACAACTATACCAACTCATCGGTGTTCACAACAACTATACCAACTCATCGGTGTTCATAACAACTATACCAACTCAAAGATAGAGAGAGCTTATGGCAATTATTACCTACACCGACAATACTTCTATTTAAAGTGCAAGAGCTGAATGGTTAGATAAGGATGATGTTGACTTGTCTGGTGGATCAGTTCCACGAGATGAAAATGATAAATCAACTTTATATGCCCATCAGGGGGTGTGATTTCATTTTAGGTATTTGGGGGGGGGGGGCAAAAACCAAAGCTTGGTCGGCTGTTAAGTTGTTTATTACTGGAGGCGCCACAGTACATAACAATTTAAATAAAACCAGAAAAATCGAGGGAGCTGCGAATGCCCCCCTGCCCTACCCAAATGACGTCCCTGATACCCGTTGTTACGATACAGCATCACCTGGCTACTCCATGGGAAGATAATAGAAACCAGAAACTATATTATAAATATCAGCTATCCTGACAATAATCATATTTATACTTCCACAAACAATGATATTTAGTCATTAACAACATTTTAATTGATTCTACATTATAAAATTTAAGTATAAAAACTTTTTAACTTGATTAACAAGCTAAACGTGTAATAAAATGATTTCCTCACAATTGTATGTGCCATCTAAATATAGATCAGCATGAAGTAAAATGTATTCATAAATCTATTTATGTTATAATTCATTAATTTTTTTAGTTAAGTTATGTTGACATAATTAAATGGGGGGGGGTCATCGAAAGTTTGACAGTTGTTGACAAGGGGGAGGGGGGGGGTAAAAAAATGCGTAAAAATTGTTAACGTAATTAATGGACGATCCCTCAGAAGAACTAAAAAAAAAAAATTCCCACATCAAGGGAGGCGAGGGAAGTTGGTCACCGAACGAAATAATGACGTCACCAGCACGGTAAGACTAACGTGTTGGTACTAGGCTAAATATTAATACAGGGATATCTTCCCAGCTTTTTATGAAAACATAAAGCATGGGTATGACGAAAACCGCGAAACATTGTGGTGATATTCTATAGCCTTAATAACTGATATTTAAGTGGCGGTTTGCCTTATTAGAACCACAATAATTATTATAATTATACGTGCTAGATTGTAACTGTATTATAAAAGAAAAGGGCACTCAAGGGACTGCGTGAATTTTGCCCCCCACCCACCCCTCTTCCAAATTTTTTTCTTATCATACTAATTATACTAATTTAAAAAAAAATCAAGAAATTTAAATTACTTTTAAATTAAAATAGTAAAGCCAAAGTATTCATTAAATGTTTATTTATTAATATTCACGATGATCTCATTTTTGAAAAAAAAAAGAATCTAAATATTGATACTTTCACCCCATCATTTTTTTTTTTGGATGTGTGTAAAATGTATGCGTTGAGGAATTTCAAAATACCTAAATATTTCAGTTTCGGTTTCGATATCGGCCGAAAGTAATTAAACGTTCGGCCTAGTTTCGGTTTTGGTCAAAATTAGAAGACCACTTTCGGTCGGTCTCTATTTCATAGTTGTGGGGCGGCGTAAAAATAAATCTTCGGATGGAGTGGTCCAACCAGGTGTCACTTTTTCCTTACAAGCAGGTGTCGCAATTTTCCGACAACTTCAGAGTTTGTATCGTGAAAGGGAGGACGGCAAAAATATTTGGCCGACCACGGCGGCAGTACTAGTAGTTGGCCACTAGTAGGAAGTGAATCTAATCGATAACCAAAAATCGGAGATCATTTTCATAGGAGGGAGTAGGGCGGACATCGAGGGCGCCGATTAATCTTCATTTTTTAGTATTTCAAAATCAAGAGGTGTATTTTTGAGTATTTCAAAATCAAGAGGTGTATTTTTGAGTATTTCAAAATCAAGAGGTGTATTTTTGACTATTTCAAAATCAAGAGGTGTATTTTTGACTATTTCAAAATCAAGAGGTGTATTTTTGAGTATTTCAAAATCAAGAGGTGTATTTTTGAGTATTTCAAAATCAAGAGGTGTATTTTTGAGTATTTCAAAATCAAGGGGTGTATTTTTGAGTATACTTGAATTCAATGGTTCTGTTATGCGCTGCTTTGAAAGGGGGGAAAGAACATTTGAAATGTTTAGTGTGAGGCACTATGGCGCCCATTGCCATCTGAATTAAGTCCCGTTGTGAGCGTGCACCCGAGGTAATCATTTGTCACATGCTTCTAATCAACCCCATACTGTAACACTGATCAGCATGAGGGACGGTGGGCATGCTCAAAATGCAGGGGTACATTTAGGCGTACATGAATTTGTAGTTTCTTGCAGACAATTTGAGGTGGCACTTCAAAATTTCAGGTGGGAAGTTCCAAAATTAGTCAAAATAATGATCAAGGACATCTTAAATTCCGCAAAGCAGGATGTAAACTGAATTTTTCTAACTTGTTTTGGTGCCTGTTTGATAGGTTGGTGCCTGTTTGATAGGTTGGTGCCTGTTTGATAGGTTGGTGCCTGTTTGATAGGTTGGTGCCTGTTTGATAGGTTGGTGCCTGTTTGATAGGTTGGTGCCTGTTTGATGTGTTGGTGGCTGTTTGATAGGTTGGTGCCTGTTTGATGTGTTGGAGCCTGCATCTAAATCAAACACATAATACAATTAAGAGAGCAGTACTGACTCGCATTAACAGAAATAAATCTATCGTGGCGTGGTTAATGTAACAGAGTAGATTAAGCTCTTAACTTGATATGTACTTTGTCACTGTCATTGGGGCTTTATGAGCCTTGATACTTTGCATGCATTGGAGGGCCGTACAAATGGGGGAGGGGGGCACTCGCTCCGGGTTCCAACACCACGAGGCGCATATCTGTCTTTAGATATGGCGTTTATAGAGAATTAAACGAGTATATTCTAGGTACTTCAAAAAGACAAATAGAGGAAAATTCATATTTTTACTTGTCCGCCCCGGAGCGCAACAATTTTCAGGCTTCACCGTGCGCCGCTTTTCTTCGGCACGGCCCTGGTGCACTGAGTCCTTCTATGCATTAAGTTATTCTGTTCAGTGGAGCCTTCAATGCATTCAACAAATCTATCCATTGATATGTTCCTTGCGCAGACACCGTTTGTGCATTGATACATTTTTTTATTAATGTTACCTGTTTGGAAAACTTCGGTGCATTGAGCCTACCTGAGTACAGAGGCCTACTTTGAGAACTTGGTGTAGAGGCCTACTGTGAGTAATTTAAGTACAGAGACCCCTCTGTGAGAAATATGTGTACATAGACCTTGTGTGAGAAATCTGTGTACAGAGACCTTCTGTGAGAAATCTGTGTACGGAGACCCTCGGTGAGAAATCTGTGTACAGAGACATTCTGTGAGAAATCGTGTAACAGAGACCTTCTGTGAGAAGTCCATGTACAGAGACCTTCTGTGAGTAATATGTGTTAAGTGATCTTCTGTGAGAAATCTGTGTCCGGAGACCTTCTGTGAGAAATCGGTGTACAGAGACTCTGTAAGAAATCGATGTACGGAGACATTCTGTGAGAAATCGTGTAACAGAGTCCTTCTATGAGAAATCAGGGTCTGCAATTATTATAAATTTACAATTGCTACAGATCCACGTAAAAAGGCTAATAAAAGTTCAATTTAAAAAAAAAATTCTTATAACTTTGACTGTGAAGATAAATTTGTGGGGGTTGTTGGGGGGGGGGGAGATCAGGCTCGTTCCTAAATGCACTCTTGGGAGCGACCGACAGTCCCAGGATGAGATCCTCTGCAGCCAATCATTGCCAAGTCAGCCATGTAGTTTTTTTTTTAGTGTTTGCGGCGTCTAGACAGCCTAGCGTAACCCTTACTACCAGGCGTCTGTGACAGATCGATAAGTTGTTTAATTAATCAACGCCACAGATATCCCACGGCACGGGTATCGCACGACACCGCAGTGGAACATTAGCTGGAACTTGTTTTTTTCTTTCCAGCTTTACGTTCACACATCAGCTCAACAGTTGCAACAAGCGGTATTTGTTAATAAACATAAGTATTGTTATTTTTTTCTTAACAGAGCATTTTTACATTTTAATTTTTTAAAGGTAAGTTTAAGATATATATATATATATATATTTACCGGTAGAGAGAGATATATATACACATACATATATATATATATATNTATATATATATATATATATATTTATATATATATATATTTCATATGTATATTTTTGAACAAAGTTTTTTTATAGACATTTTGTCTGTAATCCAGGTCAATCATTTAGTACAGGCCTGCACGACGTGCGGCACGAGGGCAACATGCGGCCCACAAGCTCCCACTTTCCGGCCCGCGATGTAACGAACTATTTGTTATTATTATTATTTTCTTTATAGCTTTCCCCCCCCCCCCCCCCTTTTTTTTTTTTTTTTTTTTTTTTTTAGCCTTCCCCCCCCCCCCCGTCCTATTTTCTTTTTCGAGCCGCACAGGCTTTTCATAAAGTAGTACTGCCCGCCTTACATTTTGAGTTGTGCAGGCCTGATTTAGTTTAATCATTTCAATGTATACAGTAGACACACTGGTGAGTCGCGACGCACTGATCCCCCATGTAAGTTTAGATGTGTTTCGTAATATTTTGATATACAGGATAATCATCGCCGGATTGATACATTTCTGCACATAATTCTGTGCCCCCCACTCTTTTTTTGGTGGGGGTGGGGTAAAAATAGTTTATATATAACTTCCTAATTGAGTTTTTATTGATATATAATAGATTATTTTTTAAAAGTATCACTTAAGATAAGCTTTAAAATCTAGGAACCATAATTTATTTGTAATTCAAATCCGCACAATATTTTATATAGACTATTTAAAAGTAAATCTGACTGAAAAATAGGCAGATATTTGGTTGTTATTTCTCCTGAATATAGTAAACTCCCTCCCCCCCTCCACCTCCCTCCCCAAGTTCTGCTGCGCTCAAGCCCATGGCCTAGTTTGTCTCTTTGGGTAATCTGACGCTTAGGATAAAAGTTCGGAGATTTTTTTATCCCGGGTATTTCACCTTTAAAGTATTGATGTTCACTATGACATTATAAATTCGAATCTCGCTCAGAAGTACTCGCACCTAACTGATCATTGGACCGTATGTACTCGTATCAGACTGATCAGTTGACTGTATGTGCTGGCCGGAAGTATACAAAAGTAATGTAATCGTATATTTCCAATTAGATTTAATAAAAATTCCGACTCTTTAGAAAATAACAAAACTGAATCAAATACGTTAATCTTTTCCTTTACAAAGTTATCGCAATCATTGCGCCTTAATCTCAAGTGCTGCTTGCCAAATACCCCCCTGTTTACGTAAACCTACACGCTAATGAATAAAAAAAAATCGATAATAACCATTCGTCAAAGCAATCGTGCGATTATGATCCGTGATATCGGTTATTGATTTTATGGAATCAGTTCTCGCTGAGGCAGAGACATCCATGTATATGTGTATATCAATGGGTATGGGCACAAAGCCCAGTCGGTTTGTTCTTCATGGCTGTCATGTTATGAGTGTATGCGCCTGGGGTAAACTCTGTCAAATTTATCTTGAATTGCATTCAATTTTTTGAAGACATTTTGACTGTGAACATTTTTGCGGAAGTAGATTTCTTGAGTGCTTGTGCGGTGAATGGTTAAGTGTAAGTGGACATGTAATGTATGTTGAATTTTTATTGTGTGCGTATGTTTGTTGTGTGTGGTTTACGGATCAGAATGGATTAGATTGCTTGTTTCCGACTCCTTCAAATGATTTCAGTAATAAACGACAAAAAAAAAAAAAAAAAAAAAAAAGAGCAAAAGAAAAAAAAAAAAAAAAAAAAAAAAAAAATGGATTAGATTGCTTGTTTCCGACCCCTTCAAATGATTTAAGAAATAAACGAAAAAAAAAAAAAAAAAAAAAAAGATCGAAAAGAAAATTAGACTTAGTCGAGACTTAACTATCCCACGTGAATAAAACTTTACTTGTCACCTTAAAATAAAAGATACCATTTTTATTCATATATTATAATGTGATTTGCTTTCAAAGTAAATACCAGTGGCTCAAAATGGTTTTTAGATGCAGTAAGATGACTCTAGTCGAGCCAACCGCTATGAAGCTCCACCGTGCACTCAGGCTGAGACAAAACGCAAGATTATTTGGTTGACTGAAACTATTCATGGAAGATTAAGTGCTGAAACAGTTAAGGTAGGGGGGTGTGTGTTCAGCCCATGCTCGAAGATTATAAATTTAGAAACTGACTAAATGTTCACCAGATATTTTTTATGCACTATTAGTTATTTCAATGACTCATTACAGAAAGAAATGTTGGCGCTTCATGTGTACCAAAGTCTTATGTGTGTACAGAAGCATTCATATCTCGTTTAGTATGTGTAAATATCCATTTATACAAACAGTTTGGAACAAGTTGTTCCACAGCTTCGCCCACCCTCCACCCCCTCTCCAACCAAGCCCCAATACTATTCCAAAAGGGGTGTTTAAATCCATTTCAATTCAGTAATCAATATTTGCCTTTGTGCTGTGGCGAAGGTTCAGCTGACCTGGTCGTAAATCAAGTCATTAAAAAAAACGCTCCATAATAACATATAAATATTTCTAACATGTTATGTTGCTGGCGTCAAACAAACGTCACCGGTTTGAGCCTGGTCTCTTCCAGTCGGAGATTCTAAAACGTTTGAGCCTGGTCTCTTCCAGTCGGAGATTCTAAAACGTTTGAGCCTGGTCTCTTCCAGTCAGAGATTCTAAAACGTTTGAGCCTGGTCTCTTCCAGTCGGAGATTCTAAAACGTTTGAGCCTGGTCTCTTCCAGTCAGAGATTCTAAAACGTTTGAGCCTTGTCTCTTCCAGTAGAGATTCTAAAACGTTTGAGCCTGGTCTCTTCCAGTCAGAGATTCTAAAACGTTTGAGCCTCGTCTCTTCCAGTCGGAGATTCTAAAACGTTTGAGCCTGGTCTCTTCCAATCAGAGATACTAAAACGTTTGAGCCTGGTCTCTTCCAATCAGAGATACTAAAACGTTTGAGCCTGGTCTCTTTCAAACATTTAAAACATTTTTCTCCAAATTTTATTATATTGTCAATACACATGCCTTATATCCATCCATCACCGAAAAACAACAACAACAACAAATTAAACAACAAGAAAACAGCACCAAAAACAACAAGCAAAGCCACAAGAGCAATTAAAATAAACGAAGTGGCTATTCGGACCCGGGTCTGAGAAGTTAGATGCTGGGATTAAAATTAAAAAAAAAAATTGTTGTCAGGATGTAAGAGGAAATTTGGTATCAAATGAAAGATAATGGAATGGGCTATATGTTTGTAAACTTAGTTCCTCGGTTCAACTAAAATAAACTACCACAAACGACACCCGGACAGCATAGAGTCTAAAGGGACCCGGGTCCGAATAGCGGCGAGGCGTTTCCGGGTCCACTTTGACTCAATTCTATTCGGATGTCATTTGCGGTAGTTTGTTTTAGTTGAACCGAAGAAGTAAGTTTACAAACATTTAGTCCATTCAATTATCTTGCATTTGATACCAAATAGTATCTTACAAACCCTACAATAATTTTTAAATATTGTTTAATCAACCCAAACTCTGACTTCTCGGACCCGGGTCCAAATAGCAGCAACCTAAGATAAATGTCTGTTTTCAGGTAAGGTATTTAAACGATTGATACTGATTTAGGATTAGCCAACAAATAGCAAACATTTGTATCATTTCTCAACTTGTGTGCAAAAGTTCGATTCTTAACAAAAAATAATAACTATGGGCATGCTATGCTTGATTCATTGTTTTTGTGTTTTTAACACCGATGTGATATCAGCCTGTATTTGAATTTTTTTTTTTCAAAAATGTAAATAACTCCGGAGACAGTGCTTGGATTAAGCTTCGAGTAGTTTTTAGATGACCATCTTTTAGCACTCTTAAAAATGAAGAATTTATCATTTGTAAAAGGAAAAGTCAGATTCAAAATCTGAGACCAAACAGTGTTTTTCTCCCGGTTTATTAAAATGGATTACTTTCACTAAAAACTATAAAAATAGTTATGTACATCGATGAATAACATTACTTTGACACGTTTGAGAACCGCTCCCATAAACTCTGCGGGGGTAGACAACAAAAAAAAAAAAAAGAGTATATGTATCTTGAATGAGTTAATAACAAGAAGTGGAGACTTGTGAATCGCAGGACCGTGAAACAGAATTCTGAAACGAGTCAGTCGTAACTATGAAACAAATCCAAGGGACGACAACTGAGATTAATTATGTTCTTCTACGTTAGTCCAGACAGAGTTGTCAACTAGATATCGACCCGAGCGTGTTCGCACTGTTGAGGGGGCATGAAAGGACGGTACGGATGAATGGGGCGATAAAAGCAGGACAGGTCACGGATCAAGTGACTGACATACCGGGCTTTGTCCCTTCGTACTATAATGAATCCAGCGTGCTACGTTAGCCGTTTCTTTCTTAATGCAATATACTGCGCCACCTGAGACAATCAACTGTGTTCTTCTTGGGTTATCTCTGTTTAAGAAGCTTTGTTGCGTTTTGGGGGTCGGTGGTATCAATACATCAAAGGCCTCTTGGAAATTCATTATATATATATATATATATATATATATATATATATATCATTGATCAAAATAAAATATTTATTAATCACCTGTTCATTTCANTTTTTTTTTTTTTTTTTTTAAATCTCCTTTTTCGTCATTAACTAATTTTATGACATTTGAATATTTTATCTCCCCAATTCAGAACCCTATAAGACAGCAGAAAACTGAGTGAAACACACAGAAGTGCAGACGTCAGAGACAAAAAGGACATAATGTCTCAGCAGAATGTCGTCGTTGTCTTCGGAGTAAACGGAAGACAAGGAGGTGCGGTGGCTACAGCACTGGCCCAGTCCGGTCAGTACTGTGTGCGGGGAATAGCGACAGATGCGCAGAGTTCAACGTCACAGGAACTAAGGGAGGCAGGGGTCGACGTTGTTAACCTTGACCTAAATGACAGGTACGTTATTAAAAGAAAAAAAAAACTTTTCAAATCTTTAGTGATGCCAAACTTATCGTCTTCAACATAAAAGTAATTAAAAAAAAATAATAATAGTTATTTTTTTAGATTAGATGAGATGCTTATATTGATATACATTTATGTAAATTTCTTTTCACTCATGCAATCATCATCATCGTCAGTGGCGCTACAGCTCTTGTAGGGTCCTGGCCTTCTCCACCACATCCTTCCATTCGGAACGATCCATGGCTTTTCACCTCCATGCACGAACCTCCTATTTTTGTTCAGGCATGGGTTGAAATCCAAAATTATCAATCAGTTTTTTGTATATGGTTTAGCTTTCGTAACACTTTCTTTTTTTACGTGTCAGGGTCGTCAGCCCAGCGCACAACCGCCTGGGGGTATACCCCTTGAAGCTCTCAGAACAGCTGCCTTTGTATTGGGTTGGGTCACTGGCCTATGTGGATCCCTCCACTTCCTACAAGGCAGTAGGTACTGATTTTGGTCCACTCCGGATATTTTATATCCCCCCCAGTACCCGCCATATCTGGTGGGCTTTTCGCTATCCGCACCCTACCCCCCCCTGGGAGGCGCTCGATAGACGATCAGTATCTTCACACGAGTTTCACTCATTGAAAGCCTTTGAGTTTTTTGTTGTTCCCCCAAAATCTGACTGCAACAAAGCGTATGCAGTGAAACATTAGTTTGTCGGAATAACTGTTCGATTCGTGAGTGAACGTTGGCATTTAGAACAGAGGAGAAGAAAAATTATCATTTTCGTATACACCTGTTGAGCTGAGATGAAAAGTTCATTTCTGTAGACACCTTTCTGATAACTGGTTGAACTAACATAAACAATTCATTTACGTAGACACCTTCCTGAAACCCGGTTGAGCTGAGATCTTTATGTAGACACCCTTCTGACACCTTGTTGAGCTGAAATCAAACCTCATTGATGTAGACACCCATCTGACACCTTGTTGAGCGAGATCAAAACTCATTTCTGTACACCTCTTTTTGACACCCTGTGGAACTGAGATGAAAAGTTCATTAATATAGACCCGCCTTTGACACCTTTTTCAGCTGATACACCAGCAGTCTTCCCCCCACCCCCCCCAAACTATATTTTCCTGATTTCCTCCCACAGAGACGGTGTACAGAACGCCCTCCGTTCTGCTGACGCCTGCTTCATCACTACCACGACGGACTTCGACGATCCCAACTGTCTGGACACGGAGATAGCCCAGGGATGTCTCATGGCTGACCATTGTTTGACGGCAAGTGTGGTTCAGAGCCTAGGGTAAACGTGAATACTTTGTTATGATAGGCGAGAGGTTCAAATCCCGTACAGTCGGTGGAGTAACTATTTCGACTTCCGTTGCAGTCTTTGACTTTTGTCCCCCCCCCCCCAACCACCCAGTTCAGATGGATCGATAATACAAAGCAGCTGTAATTATAATTAGACAATTTGTTAAGTGGAATGGCCACTAGTAAAATCTTAAACAAATGTATCAACAAGAACTGCTCCTGATCTTACGATGTATCATCAAGTACTGCTCTTGATTTTACGATGTACCAACAAATACTGCTCTACATCTTAAAATATACCAAAAAGTTCTGCTCGTGATCTTATCATGTATCAACAAGTACTGCTCTTTATCTTACAAATAATAGTATAGTTGGGAATGCGACATCTTTACATGACGCACCTACCCGATACTACCTTTCCATAAAGCTAATGTAACAGACCAAACACCGTCTGACCCGAGGTTCATAAAGCTAATGTAACAGACCAAACACCGTCTGACCCGAGGTTCATAAAGCTAATGTAACAGACCAAACACCGTCTGACCCGAGGTTCATAAAGCTAATGTAACAGACCAAACACCGTCTGACCCGAGGTTCATAAAGCTAATGTAACAGACCAAACACCGTCTGACCCGAGGTTCATGTCTTGACCAACCTGCGGTAATCTTTGGTGCGATTTACGGCTCAAACTCTAATCCACAGTTTACATAGATATTTAAAACAAATGTAATTTATTGCTAAATTTATTTTATATGTTAAGGCTAATGGTGGCTAATGTCTGCTGATGTCTGTACCCAGGACAACGTTTTGGGAAAGAAATATAAGTAGTTTCTCTTTCTCCTTGGCATTTCCCCCGTAGTCCACTTTGATTAGGACAAAAAATAAATAATAAACACCAAACACATTGATATCAAATGTGGCCAGTCCACCCTGGACACCCACGAATGATATTTTTTCAGAAGTCTCCACAATGTCATGAAATCTTTACTTTTCAACAAAACCTAAGACATTCGTTTAGATATGTAAAAAAAACAAAAAAACAACAACTAAATGTTTTGGACCCCGCCCCTTCGACTAAATATATGGTGTTTGTAACTCAAAAACAACAACAACAAATCATTGTGTCGGTAGCTGTAGTATGTATTACGAGTGTCTAATTTAGATTTCAATTTTGAGCAAAACGTCTGAGTTAACTTGTACAACAGGGAAACAAAAGTCTTAAACTAGCCCTTTGTTTACATTCCAGGCAAAGGTCCAGCACGTCATCTTCAGCACACAGCTCCATTCGTACAACGTCTGCTCCCTCATGGCGCGTCATCTTGTCGCCAAGGCGGAGATAGAAAAATACATGCGTGACCTTGGTTTGCCCTTGACCTGCCTGATTGTTCCGGTATGCTACGAGAGTGTCTTCGACCTCTTCAGGCCGAAGTCCAGGGACGCCAAACAGTATGATATAGGTCATTGGCATGTTGGTTTCTCTTAGGACCCTCTCATAATCCTTTCCACCATTCCGAATGTTTGCTGTCAATCAGTAGGATTGCGTGAACTTTTCTTTTTTTTAAACATTCCCCAAATCCTAGTGTGTTAATAACGAAACAAATTTGAAGAGAGCTGAGGGGTTTCTTCCATGTTAACTGTCATGCATTGAATTTCTTGTCCACCGGTGAAAGTTTATGACCGTCACTTTACATGTTTACTCATTTTCATCAGTCACACTTAATAATGATGAGCTTGAAAATACATTTTTGACTGACGATTATATAACGAAAAAAGAAACAAAATTTTCTTAATTTTTTTTATGTTCTTGCCATAAACTTTATACTACTTTATTTTCTAAATGTTGAAGAAATCCCAATGGGGACTATGCCCCTGGACATGATCAGCGTGGATGACCTGGGCTCGATCGTGTTGTCGCTGCTACAGCGCAAAGACCAGTATTTGGACAAGACGCTGAGCGTGTGCGGTGACAAGATCACCGTGCGGGAAATAGCAGGGGTGCTGAACAAATACCTGCGACCTAAGACCTTCAAAGACAAGCAGGTGAGAAACAGGTGATAAGTATTTCATCTCTCTGCTTTGAGATCGCGGCCTCATATACATAGTATAGAACGTGACATTGACATAATTGATGACGATGTGGCCTTAACACACCTTGCAGGAATCTGGCATTGACATACAGTGGTACCTTGGGTTACGAACTTAGTTCCTCCCAGAACTCAGTTGTAACCCGAAACATTCGTATCCTGAAACAGTGAAATCAATGAAATAGAGAAAATCCGTTTCAAGATGAAAGAACCGTTCGTTTTTATTAACATCCTTTCGTTTTCCTGACAAAACGCTAAGAATACGTGTAATTCCCGTATTAAATACAGAGAAAGAGAGACAACCAAATAAATTATATGTTAAATAAAAAATAAAGATTAAACGATCATGGAAATGTGTCAGTTTCTTTGCTATTATAAATCATTCGTTTCATGAACTTCTTGTCGCTGTTTCATGACAGCCAACTGGGAATCTTTCTGCACCAAGAAACTATCAAATGGAATTTGTCGCGTCCTTTGCTTGATAATCTTTAGGATCTGTACGCATTCGTTTGTCTCCAACGTTAACCTTGCTCTCTCTCTCTCTGTCTCTCGCCTTCGTTCGTAACCCGAGGCACTGTTCATTACCCGATACAAACGTTTTTCGAAGTTGTCGTTCGTAACCTGAATTGTTCGTGACCTGAGGCGTTCGTAACTCGAGATACCACAGTACTTGATAAAATATAGTTTTAATATACCTTATAGAAATGTGGCCTTTATATACCAAATAGAAATTGACAATAGAAACCCTCTCAATCCCAAGCACCAAAACTAAGACCATCGGTGAACGCTCCTTCTACTTCCATGGGCCCACGTTCTGGAACCAGCTCCCCTTCCATATCCGTCATTGTGAAACCTCGTCCACTTTTAAAAAGTCCCTTAAAACCCATCTGTTTAGGTCCGCCTATGACCTGTGATGCACCCTCCTTGCTCTTAAATACGAGAGGGACATTGCCCATTTATATGAATTTTTAATAATAATTTTTTACTCAACTATTTAATTGTTAAGTTATAAAAGTCGTTAATTCTGTCACAACATCCCAAAAGCCAACCATTTTTATTCTGTCATAACATACCACAAGCCATCCATTTTCATTCTGTTATGACATGCTAAAAGCCATCCATTTTTATTCTGTCATATAAACATACCAAAAGCCACCCATTTTCATTCTGTCATGGCATACTAAAAGCCATCCATTTTCATTCTGTCATGGCGTACTAAAAGCCACCCATTTTCATTCTGCCTTGACATATTAAAAGATTTCCATTTTCATTTCAGCTGACTGTCTACGACTTTTCCCAAAAGAACTCAAGTGTTCTGAAAGGCTGCACGGACTGGGCGAACATGTTCCAGTTTTTCCAACGGGTTGACCAGCGCTACAACTTGTCTGTCAGCAAACAGCTGAACCCCAAACTGCGCTCGTTCGACCAGTGGGCGCAGGAGAACGCCGCCGAGCTCGGCTCTCGATTGTAACAAAACCTGCAAAGACCATTGGACTTAAGACGGGGATGAGATAAAACATTTGGGGCGCATGAATATGATAGACGTCTGCTTAAATTGTTTTCAGTGCCACAACTTGTGTTACAAACTATAATATACAAACAACATATAGTGTCACAACATGTGTTACAAACTGTACACACCACATATCGTTTACTGTCACAGCATATGTTACAAACTGTACACACCACATATTGCTTAGTGTCACAGCATATGTTACAAACTGTACACACCACATATTGTTTAATGTCACAGCATATGTTACAAACTGTACACATCACATATTGTTTAGTGTCACAACATGTGTTACAAACTGTACACACCACATATTGTTTAGTGTCACAGCATATGTTAAAAACTTTACACACCACATATTGTTTAGTGTCACAATATGTCTTACAAACTATAATATACAAACCACATATTGTTTAGTGTCACAACATATGTTAAAAACTGTACACACCACATATTGTTTAATGTCACAACATGTCTTACAAACTATAATATACAAACCATGTATTGTTTAGTGTCACAACATATGTTACAAACTGTACACACCACATATTGTTTAGTGTCACAACATATGTTACAAACTGTACACACCACATATTGTTTAGTGTCACAACATATGTTACAAACTGTACACACCACATATTGTTTAGTGTCACAACATATGTTACAAACTGTACACACCACATATTGTTTAGTGCCACAACATATGTTACAACCTGTACACACCACATATTGTTTAGTGTCACAACATGTCTTACAAACTACATGAACGCGTCAAAAAATAACAACAACCATAAAACAAGAAATAAAACTATACATAACTTATATCGAAAAACGAGATACATTTTTATAACTAATACTAATTATGAGGGCCATTAAAACACGGCCATCTCTTCCACCAGCCGTAACCACAATTTATGGAGTAACAGTGGATCGCAGAAAACAGACAACATTCAAGAACACTTCATCAAGTCTTATTCAACCCAAAATCGTCAAACCATTTTCAGAGCAGTAATTGCCATGCGTTTTTTTTATTTGTGAGGGTGGGGGGGGGGGCGCGGCGGGATACATTTGTCCCCATTTATTAATCCTCGAAACCCCGCTAAATCTACAACATTTCAATGGACGACGGAGCGTTTGGTCTATGGAGGTGTTGAGCCGTTCAAAAGGGGAGATGTTTTGAAGATGTGTACATTTGAATGAAGTCTTGTTCAGGTATAGAACACTATTGATTGTGACTTCTGTGTACCAATAAAGATTACGTTCTGTTTTGCCCGTCAGTATTCAACTGAAGAAAAACTTCAAGCCTACCGTCACGTCTTTATTTTATTTGTTTTGTTGCTTTGATTTTTTTTATTTTTTTTTTAAATTTAAGGAATACAATTTTTTGCACAATCAAATCTACAAATTAAACGCTCCCTAAAAACAAAGTTTTTCGTATAAAATGGGGCCGGGGCCCTTTATAAAATGTATCAATCGGGCAATGGTGGGGGGGGGCGGGCGGAATATGTGACAATACATGCGTACAGGTAATTTAAAAGCACTTTATAAGAATCGCAGTTAGATTAGTGCCCCCCCCCCCACCAACCATGGCTGGCAACCGAATCTTCTTACCTCCGTTAAATTTAAAAGTTACAAAACTATTTCTTGTCTTCTGTAGTTCAGGGGCGTCAACAAACATGTCGTGTTAACATTTTCTTTAAAACTATGAAATATATTTTCGTTTCCATTTTGCGAAAATATGGTTAATGGATATGTGGTTAATGGATATGTGATTGTACATTTAATGAGATAAATACTGCTTCTAAAAAAAAACAACCACTCAAAACTTTAAAGGCCGCAGGAGTCCACGGAACGTAATGTTACACGTTGGGAACAGCAACGGAACTATTTTTCTCTAAAAGGGACAGACTATCCAAGGGAGCTTACTACCTGTTTTTGTCAATACAATGATACGGCCAGGAGAAATCCTGGTTTCAAAAATTGCTTTTAATTTTCTGCAAACATACATGAATGGCGAGGCCGGGGCTCTCTTATAAATTGCGAGGCCGGGGCCCTCTTGTGAATTATGGGCCTGGGCCCTCTTGTAAATCACGGGGCTGGGTCTTCATGAATACCATGTTCAGATTGCAGTATGAAAGTGTCTCATCAAGTGAATCACTTGTTCAGATTGCTGAATGAAAGTGTCTCATAAAGTGAATCGCTTGTTCAGATTGCTGTATGAAACTGTCTCATCAAGTGAATCGCTTGTTCAGATTGCTCCTCTCCCACCCCACTTTTTAAATATGCATTTTTATATATAAAAAAAAACAATGTATATTGACATCACCTATGAAATATCTAACGCTCGATCATACCATCCCTTTCCTTAATTGGGAAAATCTTGTTTAGTTCCTAATTATTATCGAGTGATGCACGTTCTAGAATTCTTTTGCGGGAGGTTCGAATATTCTCCCTATATATAAGGCGGCAGCTTTAAACGACAGAGAGACAGACAGATATAGAGACAGAGAGAGATGCTAGCTATGGTTCCTATCAACGAAACGTATTAATAGCAGCCTTACAAGAATGTACTCTGTGTGTGTATGTGTGTGAGTATGTATTCGTATGTGTAACTTTCAAGGATTATACTTTTTCACTATGTTAATACAGTTTTTATTTCTGTATGTAAGATTTTGTGCTTTTATAAAGATTTAATAGAATAATTGCATTGAATACAGTTAATGTCACTAGCTTTGGTCCAGTTTTTCTTGGTATGCTGGTTTTCAGTCATTTGTTATGTACTGTTCAACCAATGAGCCTATGTACTGTTCAACCAATGAGCCTATGTACTGTTCAACCAAGGCACCTATGTACTGTTCAACCAATGCACCTATGTACTGTTCAATCAATGCACCTATGTACTGTTCAACCAAGGCATCTATGTACTGTTCAACCAATGAGCCTATGTACTGTTAAAAATGAGCCTATGTACTGTTCAACCAAATAGCCTATGTACTTATCAAAAAGTGAGCCTATGTACTGTTCAACCAAGGCACCTATGTACTGTTCAACCAATGAGCCTATGTACTGTTCAACCAAGGAGCCTCTGTACTGTTCAAACAAGGAGCCTATGTGTTCAACCAAGGAGCCTATGTACTGTTCAACCAAGGAGCCTATGTACTGTTCAACCAATGAGCCTATGTACTGTTCAACCAAGAAGCCTCTGTACTGTTCAAACAAGGAGCCTATGTGTTCAACCAAGGAGACTATGTACTGCTCAACAAAGGAGCCAAATATTTAAAACAGATTAAATTTGTGAAACCATTACCAACCACTGCTGCCAAGCACAATAGGACTACAAAGCTATTAAATCGATAGAAAAAAAAAACCGTCGTTGGATGTCCCCCCCCCTCCCCCCCCTTACCCTCACGTTGTTTGGAGGCAGGTATTTACCAAAGATATTCAAGCCTGCCATTAAAACTATTCCTTCCACAATAGAACCTATTTATTTTTAGTATGCAGAAGTATTCAAGAATAAATTATGTACACGTTAGTGATTTTGGAAGAAGGGCCTCAGCAAATTGTAGTAGATTTCCTTACAATCTTCAGCCGGGGTCCTCAATCTTTTTTAAACAGAGGGCCGTTTCAGCTGTATTTTGGAACAAAATTTGAAGAAAAAAAAATTGAAAAAATTTCTAATGACATATCTTTTTTTTTTCTTGTGCAAATACAACAGAAAATACGATTTTCAAAATGAACAAACTTGTTAGTAATTCAAGTGTAATGATTGGTCTGCCTTTGGCCAATGAGATGATTCAAGTGTAATGATTGGTCCGCCTTTGGCCAATGAGATGATCAATGTCCGTTTCCATAGTTAGAACTGAGGCTCGTGTAACCAGACTCATGATCACGCACAAATGAATCGATCTGACCCGGAATCAGTTAGTGTTTCTGCCAGGGACAACGCTTTTTTTTCTTTCAAACTTTGACATTTCTAGATTTGACTCTATCGCAGATAATTGAAGAACAAACACATTGGCCTAGACCAGTGGTCGGCAAATTGTGACTCACCCCATGCGGCTCTTTAATGACCTGAATGGGGTTCGGCCAGGCAGCCACGAATCGGTTTTGACTCCGAAAACATGGTCCTTGACAGGTCCTTGAAAATAAATGTTGCGCTAAAAATTTCCATTTTTGTCAAAAATCGTCCTGCTGCTGATTTTTGGCTCTTTTGACTAATGAGTTTGCTGACCACTGGCCTACTTTTGACTAATAAGTTTGCTGACCACTGGCCTACTTTTGATTAATGAGTTTGCTGACCACTGGCCTACTTTTGACTAATGAGTTTGCTGACCACTGGCCTACTTTTGACTAATGAGTTTGCTGACCACTGGCCTACTTTTGACTAATGAGTTTGCTGACCACTGGCCTACTTTTGACTAATGAGTTTGCTGACCACTATCCTGATTTTTAAAACAAATATATTATTACTACTTACAGCCGACCAAAAATTGGCGACGGCAATGCGTGAACTTCCCATCTACTAAAGTTACTTGACAAAACATGAACTCAAGTAACGCACATTTAACAATACCAATTTTTGCTAAACTCCCCCTTCTCGCCCAAAACACACATGGTACGTCACTGCACATTTTTTTAATTTCAAGTCCATGAACTATATTAAATATTCTCATGTTCCAACCACTTTTAAACCGAATATTTGTTGCACAATACTTACATTAAAATTGAGAAGATTTCATATTCGGAAAAGAAAATATTGCGCGCCGAACGCAGTTGCGTTATTTAAAAAAAAAAAAAAAAAAAAGATTTCATATTCGGAAAAGAAAATATTGCGCGCCGAACGCAGTTGCGTTATTTAAAAAAAAAAAAAAAAAAGATGTCATTTAGCGTAGTTATCGAGATTCACATTTTGCGCGCTAGTGAACTCCTTCTTGAACCATACTTTATTTCAAGCATATATAAATATTTGCAAATTATCTCAAAACCAAGTACGCTGAATAAGAAGCAGCCAGCAATGGCAGCAGTGATGTAAGAGATTATAAGATAAAGGTTATAAAGGATTTAACGCAAACAATGACACCCTGTTTGAGGCTAAAAGAGTGCAGATCAATGGCTCTCAAACTATGTGCGACAGTGCAGTATTGTGCCTCGAGACTAGCTAGGATTGCCCATGGACTATTCTTAGACTTTGTGATATTCTTGATAAAAGTCATTACCACACTCATGCGGACTGGTATGCTAGTGCGCCGCTGTGCCCCAATCATGTATTTTGGTGTAACGTGAACGAAAAACATTTGAGAACCTTTGGTGTATTAATATCTTCTAATTCTAAAATCACGTGTAGTGTGAACTGGCAGGTTTTTAATGTGAGCGACATCCATTGAATAGGTCTTTGAAGTGACGGCTGGGAAAGTGGAGCTAAGGTTAATTGTTGGTCTTATGTCAGACTACACATGAACGGCTTTAATGTCTAGTAACACATGGCCCTTGTTTTCTGCCATTTTTGGCAATTCATGATATCGATAACTAGGGCTTAACCGGGTGTAGCTTTTTCCACCGGGTCCGGGTATTTTGAGGAAATAACAGGTGGGTACCAGTGTTACACTCGAAAAAAAAAAATAACTTCTTATTTTCTATAAACAATAGGCCAACAGACAGTCCTGCACCCTGCTGGCCGGCCTTTAACGAAATTAAATTAAATTAGCTTTACATATTTTTTTTTACAGACGGTGCTACACCATACATGTGGCTCTTTATAGAATAATATTACAGAAAAGAAAAAAAAATGCAGCCTTTTTACCCGGCTTCAGCCGTCACACATGACGCTAGTTGAGCGACATGTATTTTTTCTCCCAAGCTCAGTACTATTATTATAATACATGTTGAGCCGGGGGGGGGGGGATCCGGTTGCGAAAAGAAAGCAGGACACACCAGAAGCAAAATATATTTAAAAGATATCGGATAACTTCGTCACATTGACAAAGAATCATCGAGCTCAGTGGAGTATTTTTTATCCCAAGCTCAGTACTATTATTATAATACTTGTTGAGCCGGGGGGGGGGGGATCCGGTTGCGAAAAGAAAGCAGGACACACCAGAAGCAAAATATATTTAAAAGATATCGGATAACTTCGTCACATTGACAAAGAATCATCGAGCTCAGTGGTCGGCACATCGCGGCTCGCGAACCGCATGCGGCTCTTTTCTCCTATTTTACATTATATAATACAGTCGGCCACCAACAGTGTTAGGGGTGGGGGGTGGGGGCAGTGAACTGGCCCCATATTTAAAAGAGATTCAGAACCCCTGCTCTAAAAGCTATGTTCATGTTGTCAGTCGCTGATTGGTCCAATCTGAGTGAGCGGTTGGTAAAGGTGTGATCGTTATTTTATCTATGCTAGACGCCAGTTACAACTAGTCACTGATTGCTCATCACTGTGCTGAAAATGTTCAAATTCATTGCAGTCTTGCTCGGTGTGGTCATCATTGGTGGTGAGTTCAGATACTTAACGACTAATATCATACATTGTTAGCTTTAGTTGCGGCCTATCATGCTCAATGCGCAATCATGGTTATTTGATATTTTCAAGAAAATCACTCTGCTTAACCCGAGACCTTACATAAACCCTAAATGAATATTGCATATATTTCTGAAATTATTATTTCTATGAAAGTAAAATTATATTTTCAATAGCTTCTCGGCTTCAATATTAGTTTTTGTATCTATTTTCGTGATTCATGATGATAAGGAGACTATTAAAAATTGAGGGGGGTGAGGGTGGTGAGTCTGTTTTAGAGTATTATTGAATTATTTAAATACTTGCACAATTTTTTGTTGGGGATAGTGTTAGCGCAAACAATTCAGAACAAAAACATGTAAACTGACCGTCACGCCAAAAATGATAAAATAGTTTGAGAACAACCGATCTCTACGAAAGCTTGGCATGTTTGTTTCAAATAAATGTAATAGAAGATAACGTCCCGGCCATTTGAATCAAACTTGCCTTGAATTTGGTCTAGCCATGATCTGGATCGGTCAAAATAGCAAAAAGAGACCCACGGAGGGCAGAGATCCAAAAGAACAGAGACCCACAAGGGCAGAGATCCGAAAGAACAGAGACCCACAGAAGGCAGAGATCCGAAAAAAAACAGAGATCCAAAAGATCAGAGATCCGAAAGAACAGAGACCCACAAGGGCAGATTTCTGAAAGAAATATATACCCGCAAGGGCAAAGATCCGAAAGAAATGAGACTCGCAAGGTCAGAGACCTATAAGGGCAGATATACTTCAAGTAATAATTATTTAACCTGTTTTAATTTATTCGACAGATGAAAGACTGATATCACAAGCAGTGCAACTTAATCAAACAGAGGGATGCAAAGAACTATTTGAATGTTCCTCTCATCCTCTGAAAAATGATGCTTTGATATACTTCATCAACCCACTTATGAGTCTGACTAATGCGACAGCTCTCGATTCCTTCTGTCAGTGAGTGAAGTTAATTTAAGTGTTAAACAAAGAAGGGAAATTTGTGGAGGGGCGAACATGGCTGGCTGTGACCTACAGACAAAGAAAGCTGCTAAAAAGTGGTTGTTACCTAGAGACAAAAAGGCCCGTTAAAGGGTGGTTGCGATCTAGAGATTAAAAATACTGCTAAAATGTGGTTGAGACAAAGATTAAAAGGACTGCTAAGAGGTGGTTAGGACCTAGAGATTAAAAGAGCTGCT